ACAATACACCATATTTTTTATAATTAAGAAAATAGGCTAAAAATTACATAACATGATTGAAAATAGCAAATAAGTTGGTCTTAACCTTAAGGGAATCTGCTTATCATTAGAAGGTGAAGTATCTTTTTACCCATTTAACAGATAAAAAATGCACTCATAAACATACAAATCACAAAACAGTTAAAATGACAAATTCCGACATCGAACACAAAAATCGTAGAATATACACGCTGGTTCCCCGAGCAATGAAATGAAGATCAAGACAAAGCTCAAAGTGTGAGCTAATGAGCTTACAAACGATCAAATGGCAAGCAAACTATGAACCATAGACACATCGCTTTTTTCATGAACGAGTTCTCGGAGTAACTTTTTTTGAAAATCATCTTACCCTTGATTTTTTTTTCCAATTCTTTTTTTTGTTACTTTTGTTGGGGTCGAATCTCTCCCTGGAAACAACAGTCATAAAATGGCTAAGTATGAAAACCGCGTTGCGGAACCGATGTCATGACGTCGCGGTGCCGATGTCACGGCGTCTTCCTGGTACCGATGTCGAAGGGTGACACCGATGTCGTCATGGTGACAATCTTGAGGAACGGTGCCGATGTCACGACGTCTTCCTGGTACCGATGTCGAAGGGTGACACCGATGTCGTCATGGTGACAATGTTGAGGAACGGTGCCAATGTCACGACGTCTTCCTGGTACCGATGTCGAAGGGTGACACCGATGTCTTCCTGGTACCAATGTTGTGCCGATGTGTTGACAAAATGGAGCCNATGTGATGCNGAAGTCGTGTGCGGATGATCCCGAAGTCGATCGTTGGAGGCGCCGATGTCGTGCCGATGTCGAGTACTCGANATCGGTCGGTACGTACCAAAGGCAAACGACGATGTATCGAGGTCCGCTTGATAGACNGGTGGTGGACCGAAGTGGCACGTGACAAGGCCCATGAATGGACCGACACAAGCAATCTTGGGAAGAATGNAAAATTGGAAGAGGAAGAAAAGGATTTCCATTATCGTTTAGGAATAGAATAAACCGACTTAGATTACTATATATACTCATGTACAACCCTTAAGAAGGGGATCCNAAAATCAATTCACAAACACTTGTATTCTAGAGCTTTCTAAACAGCAATAGAACGAATTTTCAATTTCCTTTGCAGTTGTTTGCATTAGTTTAACCATAGAAATTCAGTTCCCTACAAAAATCTCTACAAGTTTTGATTGTGCGGGTTTCGACTCCCACAATTTGGCGCCGTCTAA